GGGACTGATAATGGGTTTTTTATTGCATCATCGCCCTAGTAATAAATTATGAAGATCGTAAACAAACATCTGATAAGACTTTTATGTGCTCAGAACCAACTACCGTTGACTACGATAGTAAATGATAAGTAATTTATTATTATAACAGGCTGTACCGAACCGAATTTGTACCACGTAAAATGCTGTACCGAACCGATGACGGTAATTAAGCTTGTACCGTACCGACTTTTTCGGTGCACCACAGACCCCTATTTACATGTGTTACATACAGAATAGGTGCATTGCCAGAGTTAAAATTATCAGGATATAAAAAATAAAATAGTAATCAAGATGATAATATAACTGTATGATAATATAAATTAACAAAATTGAATGATAAAACTATTCTAAACTAAAGGGGCATTGTGAAAATCTGCAATTAAATAAAAGGCTCTGTCAATTAAGAGTTCACCTCTTTTATCTTTAAAATTATTTTCATTTACCAATTTATAGTTTGCAGGCAGCACATTGTACAGCTCAGCCCAGCATATAGTGGACTTTTTTCATAAAGGGTCAAATGGTGCCTTGGAAATCTAAAATTGTTTTCGTTTCGATCATTATATCTATGGTTTTTTTTAATTGATTCTTGGAGGTCGTTTTTACCTGAATGAAAGTAGTTTAGTGATTCCAATATGTACAGTCCTGTTAGGGTGTGGATTTTTAAATTTTGAAAAAGGTTTTTGCATGAACTACGCGGATGAGAGCTGGTCATAATACGGATAACGCGTTGTTTTTGTAGCCTGAATATTGATTTGACTCCGGTAGCCTGACCCCATAAGATTATACCATACCTCAATACTGATTCTACATAACCATGATAAACCATTTTCAGAGTTTCTTTAGGAACACAGTCCCTTAAGTGCAGAAATACAATTGACATGGATCTAAGTTTACTTTTTAATTGATTCAGATGTACATCCCATTTAAGTGATTCATCTATGTAAACACCTAGAAATTTATGAGAAGTTGCCAATTTAAGGGATTCAATTTTATTACCATTGTTTCTGACAGAAAATTTTATTGTTTGCATTTTTTCAAGATTAAGTTTTAATCCATTGTTCAAGAACCAACACTCCATGTCATGAACCACATTTTCAAGAGAAGATAGCATTTCAGAAGTACTATAATTTTTTATCAAGGCTGTTGTATCATCTGCAAAAAGAATTAGTTCCTGATCAATAGCTTTAGGGAGGTCAATAATGTAAATTAGAAAGAATAGAGGACCTAAGATTGAACCTTGGGGCACACCTGCCGATAGGTTTTCCCATGGTGAATAGTACTTGATCTTATCCAGTGTTATTACAGTTCTTTGTTTTCTATTAGAAAGGTAAGAACTCAATAGAGAGTGAAAACTTCCCCTAATACCATAATCACTCAGCTTGAGCTGAAGGACTGAGTGATCAACACAGTCAAAAACCTTGGACAGGTCACAGAAAACACCAGCTGTAGCCTGAGACCCGTCCAAAGCCTGGGTAACCTCATTTATAAACTGTGTTAGTGCAGAACCTGTGCTTAAATTTTTCCTGAATCCAAATTGTTTGTTATAAAATAGATGATTGCCTTCAAAATAACTAACCAATCTCAAATTTATGACCTTCTCAAATATTTTAGAAAAATTACTCAATACAGAAATTGGACGGTAATTGTTAATATCCGATTTTAGGCCCTTTTTAAATATTGGTGAGATTTGGGAAATTTTTAGTTTATCCAGAAAAATTCCATGTATTAAACACTGGTTAATAATTTGAGATAAAGGTTCAGCAATGACATTAACAGTGGCTTTTATCAATTTAATTGGGATCTCATCCCAGCCAACGGATGATTTGTTTTTTAGTGACAGAACAATCTTTTTGATTTTCCTCCACATTAGTTAGCCTGAGGCTGCACAATGATATCCCATTATCATTACAGATATGTTTCACTGAAGCATGGACTCCACTGACAGTAGCCTTTTGTATTTTATTTTTATTTATTTATTTATTATCAATCATCACATTACATCAAGTTAATTGACAGGTGATTTGTCCATAAGTCTTAATTATTACTAAAAGTAGACTAAAATTAAAAATAAGAAAATTAAAATCTATTTTTGCTCTGATAAGAATTCCTCAACACTGTAAAAAGCCTTCTCCAATAACCATTTTTTCAAAGTTTTTTTAAAGCTAGCTACAGACTCTGTGTTTTTAATGAATGTGGGTAATTTGTTGTAAATTTGTGGTCCCATATATTGAGGGGAGAGGTGAACAATTGAAGCCTATGTTGAACTGGTTTGATTAAATTTTTAAATCTCGTGTTATGAGAATGGTTTTGTTGGCTTTCCATGAATAATCCTATATCACCCTTCACCATTAAAGCGAGTTGATAAATATATGAACTGTATAAGGTTAAAATTTTAAATGATATGAAACATTCTTTACAGTGTGTAGTCTTAGGAACTCTTGCGATCAGTCTGATAGCTCTTTTTTGAAGAGTAAATATTTTTTTAGCCCGACAGGAAGATCCCCAAACAATTAATCCATAGTTCATAATAGAAGAAAAAGAAGCGTGATATGTCATTAATTGTGTTTCTAAATTTGTGGTATATCTAATTACAGGAATAACAAATGTGGCAGAGACTAGTCGTTTTGAAACATTTTTAATTTGTTGGTGCCAATTAAGATTTGAATCAAGAGCTATTCCAAGGTAGTCTACAGAGTTTTTGGTGTGAATAGGAGACGAGTTACAATTTACTGAAATATTTGAACTTAAACTAGAGGGTGAAAACTGTATTAATTGTGTCTTTGACATATTCATTGAAAGCCCATTTACTGAAAACCAGTTCTGAAGCGATTGAAGCTCTTTGGTGATAATGAGATGCATCGGCTTGTCGGTTATGCCTTTGCAGATGAGAGCAGTGTCATCTGTATATTGAAAAATACTCATTTTTGTACTATTGCAAATGTCATTAACATAAATAATAAATAAGCAAGGGCCTAAAATTGATCCCTGGGGGACCCCAAACGGGGCTTTACTCCATTCTGATTTGAAGTGGGTTTTAAATTTGTTTATGATGATTCTTTGATGCCGGTTATCTAGATATGATTTAAACCATTTCAGCTCAATATTTTTTACACCAAGTCTGCTAAGTTTTTCTGTACATTTTTTTTTTGTACATTTAAGTTGCTTACTGTATTTAAAAAAAAATTGTTAAAAACTTTAGCAATACTTCCAGGATTACCAAGCTCATGACCATTTATATCTTTCAAAACTATTCTTTCTTTTGGTATTTGGTTTGTATTGCCAAGCTCTTGATTTACAATTTGCCAAGCTGCCTTAGTTTTGTTTTCTGATGTTTTTATAAAATTGCTATTCGCTACCTAGTAATTTTGCTTTTTTTACAACTTTGTTAAATATGTTTAAAGGTTATTGTAAATTATGTTATTTTCCCATAAAACCCTATAAAATAACGGAAAAATAGGATTTTCTCAAAAATGGCCCGAACGATTTTGATAAAAATGTTGTACTTTAAATTCTGAACAAAATTGTACTAATCCCATTTTCGTATATTTACTCTCACCGCTTACACATGATAAAGATTGTTGACAAACTTATGGGAGAAAGTATGTGTCAGAATGCTGATACCGTTTATTCTATTTGAAATTATTCTTTTGGTATAGGAACTTGTATTATTATTATTATTACCAGTAGTCAATATATTCTTATATTGCCCAGGGAGGCTCAGGAATATGGCGTTATGGTCAGATAAACCTAAATCAGTATTCAATTTGTGGTCTACTTTATACATTTTTTTTGTAATCATGTTATCTATACAAGTAAATGAATTGATGTAGTAACACTTCGGCCCAATAACATTTCGGCCAAACTCAAATTTCTTAGAAAAACAGTAACACTTCGTCCCACTCGCTTTTACAGATGATTAAATAAGCTAATGGAGTAACATTTCGGCCCGACGAAAAATTGACAAGGGTTGAGGAACGCAGTTCAGGTAGTAAGAGGTACATGACCTGTATACTTTGCAACCACCCTCTGGTGGAATGTCGCCCAACCGTCACCCCTTGCATCCTCTGACCTCACATGACGGAGAATCGATGGAATCTTACCTAACCTAACCTAACCTAACCTGTCAAATATTTTGTTGGGACGAAGTGTTACTAACTAGTGGGCAGGTAGAGAGTTTAACCGTAGGCCACATCTGAGGGTTTCGGGCCGAAATGTTACTGGGCCGAAGTCTTACTTGGACCGAAGTGTTACGACACGAATATAAAAACATTTTTCCTTTTGGCTTTTTTTTTTAAACTAACAAGTAAGCTTTTCAAGTTTGTCCAAAAACAATTTACTTGAATTATAATTTGGCACTGTATAAATGGAAAAAAATACTGAATTGAAATATACAAGTTCGATAGCGGAACATTCAAAAATAAAATCTTCATTTAAATAAGAAAACTACTGTACAGTTAAGTATTTACAATTGTTATCAACGAATATACTTGAACCACCCCTTAGGCCACTATTTCTGACATAAGAGTCAGCCCTTCTAAAATTATATATTGTATTGAGTAAAGAAATAGAATCATTATCCAACCAAAGTTCATTCAATGACATGACTTTAATATTTAATTTGGACTGTGATAAAAATAAATTGAGCTCTGATATTTTAGTAGAATTTAACCCTTGACAATTGTAGTGCATTACTAAATTAAATTTACTGTAAGTATCACTGTTTTTTAATGAATCTGAGCTAATATTACTCTGAGCTTTACTGTTGAGATTGTAAAATTTGTCTAGAACTATTTTAGCAGGCATTTCGTCTTTGTCAGGATATCTTAGTTTAAAGACAAATGTAAGCTATTATCTAAGGGTGTCATTAGGTTGTTATTTTTTAAATAAAATGGCCATTGGCTGGGGTTTGGCACTCATCAAGTAATTATATCACAAGTGTTTGATGATATGTGATGTGGCAGGTAGAAGAGTATGAAACAGAACTGGGTTCGTTGTACTCAGCTGGAAGCAAGAAGCAGAATTTAAATCATCTGTTGAATTTCCACTATGCTCCGAGAGGGGAAAGTGCAAGGCCAGTGCAACGGCCTAGCTATCAATACGGTGTTAAGTGGCTCATGTCCACCCAGAAGCACAAGTACAACAAAGAACACTTCTTACAAGCCAAGTAAGGGGTGATTACACTTAATCAAGCAATCTCTTAATATTGTAACATATTAATTATTGTTGTGATTATAACCCGTGACTTGAATTAGTTTTTGCCTCACTAATCTGTTTTAATGGATTTTTCACGCAAGGATTTAGTCCTGAAAACAACTGTTTGCCCCCTTGGATTTTATTATTTACTACTGTAATTAGGGATGGACGGGATTGAATTTTTAGTTCGGGACGGGACGGGACGGGATTTTTATTTCCTTCCCGATTTTCGGGACGGGACGGGACGGGATTTTTTTCTGTGCATAATTGAAAGTACTGTGTTGCAGTTACCAAAAAAGACATACGAAATCAATTTTTACCATTTGTGGCACTGATCGATAAAAACCAAAAAATGGGTAACAATTTACAGGTACTTATAGTAACTTGTGACTCGCGGGTCACGGTGTGATCGTCTGTATGACTCACGGTCACGGCGCGATCGTCGTCGTTACTCGCGATCACGGCGCGATCGTCGGTATGACTCCGCGGTCACGGGGTTATCGTCGGTATGACTCGCGGTCACGGCATGATCGTCGGTATGACTCGCGATCACGGCTCGATCGTCGGTATGACTCGCGGTCACGGCGCGATCGTCGGTAGGACTCCGCGGTTCGGCGCGATCGTCGGTATGACTCGCGGTCTCGGCGGGATCGTCGGTAGGACTCCGCGGTCACGGCGCGATCGTCGGTATGACTCGCGGTCACGGCGCGATCGTCGTCTTGACTCGCGGTCCCGGCATGATCATCAGTATGACTCCGCGGTAACGGCGCGATCGTCGATAGGACTCCGCGTTCATGGCGCGATCGTCGGTATGACTCGCGGTCACGGCGTGATCGTCGGTATGACTCGTGATCACAGCGCGATCGTCGGTAGGACTTCGCGGTCACGGCGCGAATGTCGTTATGACTCCGCGGACATGGCGTGATCGTCGGTATGACTCGTGTCACAGCGCGATCGTCGGTAGGACTTCGCGGTCACGGCGCGATCGTCGTTATGACTCCGCGGTCACGGCGTAATCGTCGAAATGACTTCGTCTCCTGCGTTCGCGGACCTATCGCTCGCAATAACGGCGTTATCGGCACTCGCGAAGCGGAAAAATCGCCGACGATCGGACCAAATCCCGTCCCGAAAAATTCCCGAGTCAAATGTAATCCCGTCCCGATAATCGGGAATATTTTTTTCCCGAAAAATTCCCGAAATTTCGGGACCCATCCATCCCTAACTGTAATGTAATGAGTTTTATCCGGCTAATTAAAATTTTTCATAGTTTTTAATTTAATAACTAAAAATAGGAGTTTGTTTAACACCTCAGGTATTTTATAAATATAAACATAACTACCTAATCATAAATGTAGGCTTAGTAAATATCAAATGAACTTTATTTTTGCACAGAAATGTCTAATAATACAGCGTTAAGATTTGTAACCTAAAAAGACTTATTTGATCATTTAGCCTAAAAATACACATTTGTTCACATGAATGTTATCGAACTTTAAATCATGTATATATACAAATTTTCTCACTCGTAAATTGTAATTTTTCATGCTTAAGTAGCTTAATTCTTATGATAAAATCACAAAGATTGTTAAAAAGTTGTCTAATAACTAGTTGTCTTACTAGCCCTAATGGCAGAAAGTGGGTAAGGTAACTAAAGCCAAATTACGTCTCATTTAAAAAATATAAATTTTCTTGAAGTCTTACATTTATGAAATTTTAAAGTCTTAAACGCTCTTAACCCTCCGAGTGTTAAGCGTCGCGTAATCGACGCACAACACACCCGCCGTGGTGTTATGCGTCACTTTTGCGACACACAAACATCATATACGGCGAAGGCTCTGGGACTGACTGAATCAGATTGAACTGGATCGAAATTGGTATTGTTGTTTTCGGCAGATTCTAAGCTTTCTCCTGATGACTGTTTCTAGACGCTTTTCATTTTAGTTCCGAAAATATTGTAGCATACAGCTGACGTGCATATTTGTAAACAACTTGGTTAACCTCGTACCAATGACTGATGTGTTTTATTACGTTTTAATTGTTTTAGTGTTAAAAATAAAAAGTAGTGCATTATAAGAAGATTTAAGGGATTTTGAGGGGCTGGTTGATGATCCTGAAGAAGTAGGTAGTGATATTGATGTAAATTATCGGCCAGATTCCTAGCTATGGTTAGGCTATTTATTCTAAGCTAACGCTAAATGTACGAAATCTGTTTTTCACCCATAACTTATTTATTTGCAAATTTACTTCGTTATATTTATATATTTTTATAATCCCTATAAAATTTAGAACAAAGTGGCTATTTTAAAATATTTGTAGACATAAAATTATAAAAATTTATTGAGCGCAAACATAAATTTTTTCATTTATTGTATAATTTTTGAAAAATGTTAACCCCACAAAAATTGTTGAAAATTTTTTTTTTTATATTTTATATATGACATTGAAGTCCATAATTTCCCAAACAAAATGATGTATAAAACAGTATGCTTTTCATTTTTTTTTAAGTTTCTATTATACATTTTAATAAAACCCTGCAATTGCGCAATAAATGGGCGGACATTAATACCATTACTATGGACACTTGGAGGGTTAAACTATCAAGTTCCAAAGAAAACAATTATCTATTAATGTTGTATATTACATCATTGATGTGTGTTTCTGTCAACAGTTGCCAGTTTGTAGTGAGAGCGGATACAGATTACTCCCCATATCTGGCTGATCCTGATTTATTGGTGAATTGGGAATTCATCGAGCAAATTGTAAGTCCAAGCTTAAGGAAATGAAGCTTGTAGGGTTTGTGTTGGTAGTGATGATAAACCAATTCCTATTTTTAATTTATTCCTATTTTTGTTTGTATCTATATTTGGCTATTTTTTTTCTTTTTTTTTTTCTAAAAAATAGTGGGTCTACTCGTATTTTGCAATATATATAGATATATTTGATTTTTTTAGATCTATATATTTTTAAGTAAATAATCAGTGATGAAAAAAAAATTGTGAATATATCAATTTAAAGATGACATGAGTTACAGTAGACTCCCCCTTATCCGGACACCTTCTAACTGGAAATCGGTTTAACCGAACTACACTCAGCGGAAATTACATCTCTTTAACTTGAAAATTTGTATCAGCACATCGGTTTAACCGGACTAGTTGGCAGGAAGTGGGCGGCACTGAAACGACTGTTCTCGTGGGAAAGATTTGAGACCAGTGATTACGTGTCTAAATACAATGCTCTCCTAAATTTAAGTCAAATACTGTATACAGTATGCATTTAAATGGTCTGTTTTAACTAGTTTTTGGGGACGTCGGTTTAACCGGAAAAACCGTTATCCGGACTGGCCTCGGTCACGAGGAGTCCGGATAACAGGGTGTCTACTGTAAAGCTTTTTATTTAGCATCTCATTTTCCAGCATTCTAAATTTTACTTGGATTTAATTAAATGACTTGTTTGAAATTTATTAGTTTCCTTATCAAGAATTTACTGGTGGTCTTTATTCATGCAAGTTTATTGTATGCAAATACTTCTATTAGCACCAATACTTTACTAGAATATAGGGGTCTGTGATACAGAAAATTTAAAATCGGTACGGTTCGGTATGGTACAATATTTTGTACCTCGGTTCTCGGTACAAAATCGGTACGGTACGCGGCTACCCGTATTTCTTCTCAGAACTGTATTTAACCATTTTTTTTTAACTTGAATACATTGACATTATTATGAAAATGGATAGTATCCTACATTCATGTTTTTCTAACAACAATTACTGTATCACACATTTATTAAAACAAAACCTTTTACTACTATGAGGATTGTGTCCAGAAAAATCACAGTTAAGATGCTTTACCTATTTTACTCTTAGATACTTTGAATACCCATGATAAAGTGGTTTTAAATTAGGATAAGAGTTTTTTTTAGGAAAAACTGGAGGTTATGACAGGGTGTCCACCGACCGGGAAAACCGGGAATTATGCGTGATTTTTTTGAACCGGGAAAAAACCGGGAATTATGCGTAAATTTTGTATCCAACCGGGAATTTTTTACCGCGACCGCAGGAAACGACGATGACGTTTCCGTGACCGCGGGAGACAACGATGGCATTCCCGTGACCGCGGGAGACGACGATGACGTTCCCGAGACCATGGGAGACGACGATGACGTTCCCTGGACCGCAGGAGACGACAATGGTGTATCCGTGACCACAGGAGACAAGGATGACATTTCTGTGACCGCGGGAGATGACGATGACGTTTTCGGGACCGCAGAAGACGACAATGATGTTTCCGTGACCGCAGGAGACGACGATGGCGTTTTTGTGACCGCGGGAGACGACGATGACGTTTTCGTTACCACGTGTGACGACGATGACGTTTTCATGACCACGGGAGACAACGTTGATATTTCCATGACCGCGGGAGACGACGATGACGTTTCTGTGACCACGGGAGACAAGGATGACGTTCCCGAGACCGCGGGAGACGACGATGACGTTCCCGAGACCGCGGGAGACGACGATTACGTTCCCGTCACCGCGGGAGACGACGATGACGTTTACGTGACTGTGAGAGACGACAATCGCGTATCCGTGACCATGGGAGACGACGATGATATTTCCATGACCACGGGAGACGACGATGACGTTCCCGTGACCACGGGAGACAAGGATAATATTTCCGTAACCGCGGGAGACGACGGAGACGTTTTCGGGACCGCGGAAGACGACGATGACATTTCCGTGGCCGCTGGAGACGACAATGGCATTTCTGTGACCACTGGAGACAACGATATCTCCGTGACTGCGGGAGACGATGATGACGTTCCCGAGACCATGGGAGACGACGATGACGTTCCCGTGACCGCAGGAGACGACAATGGTGTATCCGTGACCACGGGAGACAAGAATGATATTGTGTCGCCTGTGGATAAATTAGTTATGGACGGGTCCCGAAATTTCGGTACATTTTCGGGAAAAAAATATTCCCGATTTTCGGGACGGGATTACATTTGATTCGGGAATTTTTCGGGACGGGCTTTGGTCCGATCGTCGGCGATTTTGCCGCTTCGCGAGTGACGATAACGTCGCTATCGCGAGAGATGTTCCGCGAACGCAGGAGGCGAAGTCATTTTGACGATCGCGCCGTGACAGTGGAGTCATACCGACGATCACGCCGTGACAGTGGAGTCATACCGACGATCACGCCGTGACCGCGGAGTCATACCGACGATCACGCCGTGACAGTGGAGTCATACCGACGATCTCGCCGTGACCGCGGAGTCATAACGACGATCGCGCCGTGACCGCGGAGTCATACTGACGATTGCGCCGTGATCGCTAGTCATACCAACGATGACGCCGTGACCGCGAGTCACATGTTTCTATAGGTACCTGTAAATTGTTGTAACCAAACCATTTTTTGGGTTTTATAGATAGTGCCACAAACGGTAAAAATTGATTTCGTTTGTCTTTTTCTGGTAACTGCAATACTGAAGACTTTTTTTTATGCACAGGAAAAAATCCCGTCCCGTCCCGTCCCGAAAATCGGGAAGGAAAAAAAAATCCCGTCCCGTCCCGTCCCGAACTGAAAATTCAATCCCGTCCATTCCTAGGATAAATGTTGCAAACTGACAAATGCCGTAGCCTACACTTGCTTTAGACACTGATCCATCAATATATATATCCATCAATATACTTCAGCATTGTACATACTTTAGTATTTTTTGTATAGACATAGACTTTATTTGCACAAAACATTCCATACATGTCATAACATTTAGAATAGGTGCATTGTCAAAATTAAATCCATACATAAAATATTTAACATTAAAACTTTTAACTTAAAATTAAACACTTAAAAAAAAAATTCTAAATTGTAGTTCTGTAAAAATCTTCAATTAAGTAAAAAGCCTTGTCAATAAGAAAATTATCTATTGTATCTTTAAATTTGGTTTTGCTTAATGACTTATAGCATGGCGGAAGCACATTGTACAATCTCAGCCCAGCGTACAATGGAGATTTTTCATATAGGGTCAAACGGTGTCTGGGGAGTCTAAATATATTTTCATTTCGGGTTTCATACCTGTGATCACAGAAAACCTACTACTATAACCCAGAATGCCAACCGCATGGTAAAGAGCATTAAGCGTTTTGAGAGAGCTTTGCCTGTCAATACGTAGGCAGCGCCACCAGCGTTGCCATGCAATAGCATAGCAACGCTGGTGGCGCTGCCTACGGATTGACAGGCAAAGCTCTCTCAAAACACTTAGTGCTTTTTACCATGCGGTTGGCATTCTGGGTTATAGTAGTACGTTTTCTGTGCTGTGATTAAAATGCATTGTTTCTGGTAACTCATTTTTAACTGAATGTAACTTAAGTAATTTAATAATTCTAGAATATACAACCCCGTTAATGTATGAATTCTTAAATTTTGAAAATGTTTCTTACAAGAACTGCGTGGATGAGAGTTGGTAATAATACGAATAATACGTTTTTGTAACCTGAATAAAGTTTTAATACCAGTAGCTTGACCCCATAAAATTATGCCATATCTTAACACTGACTCCACATAAGCATGATAAACTATTTTAAGTGTCTCAATAGAAACACAGTCCCTTAAATGTATGAATAAAGATGATATCAACCTAATTTTGTTACGTAAATAATTCAAATGTGAATCCCATTTAACTGTGTCATCTACGTAAACCCCTAAGAATTTATGAGCTTCAACTAAATTAGAGGAACAGTTTTCCATATTTTTGTGTCTAGTAGAAAATTTAATAATATTTGTTTTTTCAACATTAAGTTTTAACCCATTTTCTAAAAACCATTGCTCCATGTCCCTTACCACACTTTGCAGAGAAGAAAACATTTCAGCTGTATTATTATTTTTGATCAAAGCAAAAAGAATTAGTTCTTTATTAATAGCTTTTGGAAGATCATTAATGTAAATAAGAAAAAAAAGTGGCTAAAAAGTATACTGTATTCTTCTTACTTAATCCAAAAATGTAATCGTTTTCATTCGGAAATAGTCCTGAGTTTTGGGAAAATGGTATTGGGCTAAATCTTATGAAATTTAAGATTAAAGAAAAGGTTCTGGGGAGCGAAAACAAGTTCTTGCAGTGACTAATACTTCAAGGGAAGGGAGGTGTGAAGATTTTCTTTCTACTGATAGACTTTTTCGAATTCACCATGAAAAATACTGGGTATTTTTTATAGTTTAGGGACTTCAAAAAAATTAACAAAAAATTCTTCTCATTATTTTAGTCAACTACGATATTATTTTAACAGAAGTCAAATATATTGCAAAACAACATTTTTGGGTAAGATAACATTGACCACAAGAATACTCTCAAGAGTATACTAATAAAGTCCCCAGGTACCAACAAATAAAGAGCCTAAATGGATGCCGATTGACAGCTAAAAATAAATAAATAAATACAATTAAGATTGATTAACATTTGATTACATCTTAAAAATAAAATTCTTGAACTAAATCCCACCTATTCAATTTTTAATTCTTCTTCTGTCCTTTTCAGTCCCTGTCATAAACCTAGTTGAAGACATAATTGTTACAATGCTGCATTGATTTGTTTGTGTGCAGCGTGTTGCCAGTCTTGAGCCAGTGAGCTGCCCCATCTGTCTCAGCAGTTTAGTAGCTGGCAAGATGACTCGCTGTGGTCACATGTACTGCTACCCCTGCATCCTTCACTATCTGGCATTGTCTGACAAGTCCTGGCGCAAGTGTCCCATCTGCTACGAGTCCATTCACAAGAACGATCTCAAGAGGTAAGTTGTTTCCAGGGAGGGATTGAGTACCTTGGAATCAGTGAATGTTATGTTTGTTCACCTCTACCATTTTTCTGTTCATTAGTTTTGAACCGTTAAGGTGTAGGCTTATCCATAAATCACTTGACGTCCCTACAGTTAGCTTGGTGATTGATCTTTCAACACCAGAATACATCAGGGTGTCTTGTAGTCGGGAAAATCGGGAAAGTCGAGAATAAGTATTGAACTTCAAAATGGTCTTGAAAGTCGGGATTAAGTCTTAAATTTGATTTCAAAGTCAGGGATTTTCATGATTTTGCCGCGATCGTCGTCTTGCGTTTACGTAACCGCAAAAGCCAATGATGATGTCTACACGGCCTCGGGAAATGTTCACGATTTTGCCGCGATAGTGGACGACGACGATGACGTTTCCGAAACCACGAAAGACGACTGTGACAGCGGGAGACTACGATGACGTTTCCGTGACCGCGGTAGACGACGATGACGTTTCCGTGACCGCGGGAGACGACGATGACGTATCCGTGACCGCGGTAGACGACGATGACGTTTCCGTGACCGCGGGAGACGACGATGATATCTGCTCGGCCGCGGGAAATGTTCATGATTTTGTCACGATCGCGGACGACGACGATGACGTTTCCGTGACCGCGGGAGATGATGATGACGTGTCCGTGACCGCGGGAGATGACGATAACATTTCCGTGACCGCAGGAGAGGACGGTGATGTCTGAACAGCCGCGGGAAATGTTCATGATTTTGCCAAGATCGCGGACGAGGCCGCAGGAAATGTTCATGATTTTGTCACGATCGCGGATGACGACGATGACGTTTCCGTGACCGCAGGAGATAACGATGACGTTTCCGTGACCGCGGGAGACGACGATGATGTCTACAAGGCCGCGGGAAATGTTCATGATTTTGCCGCGATCGCGGACGACGACGATCACGTTTCCGTGACCGCAGGAGATGACGATGATGTTTCCGTGACCGTGGGAGACGACGATGATATCTGCTCGGCCGCGGGAAATGTTCATGATTTTGTCGCGATCGCGGGAGATGACGATGACGTTTCCGTGACCGTAGGAGATAAGGATGACGTTTCCGTGACCGCGGGAGACGACGATGATGTCTACACGGCCACGGGAAATGTTCATGATTTTGCTGCGATTGCGGACGATGACGATGACGTTTCTGAGACAGCGGGAGACGACAATGATGTCATTGATGTCTACAAGGCCGCGGGAAATGTTCATGATTTTGTCACGATCGCGGACGACGACGATGACGTTTCCGTGACCGCAGGAGATAACGATGACGTTTCCGTGACCGCGGGAGACGACGATGATGTCTACAAGGCCGCGGGAAATGTTCATGATTTTGCCGCGATCGCGGACGACGACGATCACGTTTCCGTTACCGCGGGAGATGACGATGATGTTTCCGTGACCGCGGGAGACGACGATGATATCTGCTCGGCCGCGGGAAATGTTCATGATTTTGTCGCGATCGCGGGAGATGACGATGACGTTTCCGTGACCGCGGGAGATGATGATGACGTGTCCGTGACCGCGGGAGATGACGATGACGTGTCCGTGACCGCGGGAGATGACGATAACATTTCCGTGACCGCAGGAGATGACGGTGATGTCTGAACAGCCGCGGGAAATGTTCATGATTTTGTCACGATCGCGGACGACGACGATGACGTTTCCGTGACCGCAGGAGATAACGATGACGTTTCCGTGACCGCGGGAGACGACGATGATGTCTACACGGCCGCGGGAAATGTTCATGATTTTGCTGCGATTGCGGACGATGACGATGACGTTTCTGAGACAGCGGGAGACGACGATGATGTCATTGATGTCTACAAGGCCGCGGGAAATGTTCATGATTTTGCCGTGATCGCGGACGACGACGATCACATATCTGTAACCGCTGCAGTCAATGATGATGTCTAAACGTACGGTTCGTGGAAGATTTCATGAAACAAAAATTTGCTAGTTTGAATTTATTGCTGCATAATTTCTTTACTTGAAAACACCACATTATCATAATACTACTTTATGACAAAGACAGGGGTTGGTGTAGTATTATTCAGAAAATTTTGTTAAGCTATAACAATTGGTATCGGTATCAAGAATCGAGAATCGATACATTTTGGTATCAACACGCACTAATTGTTGAAAAAACTAGTCTTGAAAAATCTGGAATTAGTCTTGAAGAGTCTGGAATTAGTCTTGAATTTTATAATGGAAATAAACTAGACACCCTGATACATGAAAATATCAAAATTAAAATAATAGATAAAATGACCAAAAGTTTCAATGTAAATTAAATAAAGCAATTTATAACTTATAGAACTAAAACTCTTTCAAAATAGTACATAGCCTTGTTGTCAGGTTTTCTCGATTTCTAGTAAAGTAATTGTGATAGTCTCCAATAAGTTGTAATTCATTAAATCTGTCTTTTACCATAAAGTGAAACTCCAAATGATATGATTGAATGTATGTATGAAAATATATAATTTTTAAAGTTTCCTTTTCACATAGGGGTTTTAATCTTGTTAGCGCATAAAGGCCAGATGAAATTTTAGAAAGTAACTGATCAATATTATGATTCAACTTCAAATTTTCATCAATTTCTAATCCCAAAAATGTGATGTGGTCTTTATCTTGAATTGTGTTGTTATTAACTACAATTTTTGGCAGATCTTGCAGTTTAGTTTTTCCTGCTTGGAAACACATAAAATTAAATTAGTTTTATCTGTATTCAAACGCAAATTATTCAAATTAAAAAAACTGTTAAGTAATAATATACAGGGTGGACGACGATGATGACGTTTCCCTTACCGCGGGAGTCAATGATGATGTGTACACGGCTGCGGGAAATGTTCATGATTTTGCCGCGATTGCGGACGACAGCGATGACGTTTCTGAGACTGCGGGAGACGACGATGACGTTTTCGTCACCAAGGGAGACGACGATGATGTCTACACGGACGCAGGAAATATTCATAATTTTGCCGCGATCGCAGACTACGACGACGATGACTATTCTGTGACCAGGGGAGAGGACAATGACGTTTCTGTGACCAAGGGAGACGACGATGATGTCTACACGGCCGCAGAAGATGTTCACGATTTGGCCGTGATCGTGGACGATGATGACGTTTGCGTTACCGCGGGAGTCAATGATGATGTAGAAAAAATTTCATCATCCAAAAAATGATGCATTGGCTAGTTGGAACTTTTCATTGCTCAATTTTTTCTTTGCTTGAAAAACACCCCATTATCTGTAGTCTTGAAAAATCTGGAATTAGTCTTGAATTTTTAAATGGAAATAAACTAGACACCCTGAATATATCAGAATTGGCCTTGGCTTCAAGTTCAGCATATGTTTCTGTTTCTGCGGCTATTTTTAAATTTGCATCATCAGCATATAGGCAAAGCTTGCTAGAATCACTGAGTTGCGGAAAATTTCTCAAATAAAAGATGAATAAAAGAGGGCCTAGGATCGATCCTGGAGATTACCATTTGACTTGGGAATGATTACAATAGGACTCGCCCAGTTAGAATGTGGGACTTTATTAATGATGCCTTCTTTTTCCAGCCTACTCAATTCAACAGAGACCTCATCTCGCAAAGCATAGTGCTCATAAACCATGTTTTATACTGACATTTACTTTAAAACTTTCAATGTGTTTATTGTTATCTTTAAGTGCAAATACTCTTGGTAAAACCTACGACAATTTCTTGACAATATGAGCTTTAGAGTTATGGTGGAGTGGGGTAAGTGTGACAGCGGGGTAAGTGTGATAGCCGGCCATCTTGTTTTTGGGAATCGCTGAAAAAAATTGGTTTTGTCATAGAGAAATATTCTACATATAAGTTATCTAGTTACATAGTTTTTTTTATCAATTTAGTAACTACTGTATGTTGATTTTATTGGTTTTTATAAGTCCGACATTTTAGGTCAAAATCGAAGTTCGTTTGGAAATTTTGTTTAATTTGTAGTTATTTTAAATTTTGACCAATTTATATCAAACTCAGATTTTTAAAGAGCCTTAAAGCTAAACTTTATTAGGAAAAAAATATTTAAAACGGGTACAAATTTATCATTAAATTTAAAACCACGTGTCACACTTACCCCGGAATTTTTCAATGGCTGGGGCAAGTGTGACACCGACACCCGGGGCAAGTGTGATCTGATGTAATCTGATGTTAATCTGTGTGATCCATCGATATATAACTACTCCTGGATTGCTGGCTGAGCTCGCTAGCCCGAGCCGAAATCAGTGGTTGCATTCTGCACATGAAGGCGTCGGGTAGGGGCAACAAAGGGGCAAGAAACCCGCACGGTGCTTGGGTTTTACATCGCACTGACGCTGTGATAGCATTTGTTTACCCTACGTTTGTTAATGATTCACGAAAAATGTTCATCGGGGGATATTTTGACTCACTTCTCTAGTTATATTAAAAATGGAAAGTATAAAAGTTAGTAATCAATTAATTGCTATACAGTACAACGTGTATTTACATTGTTATAAAGTTGGGTGATAACATAGTATTTGTATTAAAAAAATTGCTTGGATGGTTTGGGTTATGGGTTTTATAAAAAGGTTGATAAAGTAAACAATAAAAATACAGTACAGTTGTATAAAAACCATTTATTTGAATACAGTACCACACAGAGTAGCCTACATTTCACGCATGATTAAAAAGTACTAATTTTGTTAGCTTTTGACTAGTGATGGGCGGATCCAAGAAAATGTCGGTACTGGATCCGGATCTTGAAAAATTCGGATGCGGATCTTCGGATCCGGATCCAGATACACACTGTCATAAGGGCGGGTAAAAAAACCTAATTAACAAAATGCCAATTTAAATCATACGGTTTAAAATAATATTGGTTATGCTTAAAGGTTAATATATCTTAAATATAGAGTAATCTCCTATCTCCAGTTGAGCCCATAATCCCTCATTTTTTTGGGACACTAA